ATACTTAATTTTAATTAAAATCTTACAAATTTGAGAGCGGTTTATTAGACAGTTTTCCATCCTGGGCTGGTTTCCACACAGAGTGCAGTCCGGTTTAATGGCCTATTCCACCCTCTAACAATTGTGACGAGGCCCCTGCTTCCAGGGCCTCCTTCACTGCCTCGATGGACCTTAGCTCCCAGTTTACACCCTTTCTTGGTGGTTTAACCGAGACCAGGAATGCGTTGCCATCCTTTCTGTTGCCTCTGTCAGCTCCCTCCTGGCTTTATTTCCCTCCCTATCCAGTCTAGGGCCCATGGTCCATGACTTGAACTCTTTTCCTCTTGTCTTCCTGTGCCTCCTGACGTAAGGCCGGCAACATCCAACCTCCCAGCCCTGGCTCAGGCTGCAGGAGACGCGGCGGCCCTTTGCCCTTGGCGCCGCTTCCTCCCGCCGTCTCCGTGGGCTCCACCCGCACATTGGTCGCCACCTGCAAAGCCTTGTCTGTACTTTTCCTGAGCTTGGGAAGTTTTTCCACAAAAGATGTTTCCAATTACCTCTACTTTCCTGAGTCTACTAACTCGGACATGTTACACATTCACATAGTAAAGTTGATTCTGAATCTTAGCATAAAGCAAACTTTAAAGGCAGTGTTTTAGAATGTGTTCATTTTAAGGGAAATTTAGAGCTTATAGAATGCTGTTGCAATCAAGGAAATGCATGCAGGCCTAGTCTATGTAGATTACTTTATGAAAATATAAATGGCGAATATGAGGCCTCCAAAGTGTTTCTTACTCTGTCTTCCACGTGTGGATGCGCATCGGACTCTGTGCTGGGAAGCATTCTCACTCTCTTCTGTTTTCCACAAAACCAAGAAAACTCCCATGTTCATGTTCAGATTTTCCACACGATTCCCCTTGAAAACATGATAGGAATTGTCATAAAGAGGGAAGGCGGCATGTTTCAGGCAAAATTCCCATGACTGGCTGTGTTTAGCAGAAAAGAAATGTTCTAAAAGAAAGTTGGAAAAAAGTTTCAATTCAGTTATAAAAGGACAAATAATCCCAGTGAAAGAATGGGGCAAAGGATCTGGAAAGACCGTTCTCTGAGGAAGATAGACAGATGGCCAGTAGACCCAGAAGTTGCTCAGCATCTCTAGCCATTAGGGAATGCATCTCAGAGCTCACAGAGACACACTTCACATCCACAGAGACGGCTAGAATTAAAAAGCCGGTAACAGGTGCTCACTAGGCTCTACCTAAGTCAGCTCCTCATGCTGTGCTGGTAAGAAAAAAAGATCCACTGTGCTTAGGAGGTGCTATCAATACAGTGAATATTTAAAGTTTTTAAAAATCTGTTACTGTAGTAAAGACATTGCCATTAATCCCTATCAGAATACTCCTGCCTCAATTCAAACACATTTATCTATCCTCTTGCTACTTCCTAGGGCAGTTCTGGAAGGCCTCTGTCATGTCCTTAGTTGCTCTGTTGTGACTGCCTTGGTGCTTTGAATTGGTTCGAAGTGGTGACCTATCATGGTCATTCTGACTTTGGGGAGGATACAGAAGACACAGCGTGCCAGATCTAGTGAATAAAGTAGTTGGGAATCCACTGTAATTTTTTTTTCACTTGACAGAAATTGCTGTAAATGCTTAGCCAATCAGTGTGGGATGATCATAAAACAGTTAAGGTTTAAATCTAAAAATGTGGGGCTGGGGACTTAGCTCAGCGGCACAGCACCTGTCTGGCAAGTGCAGGGTCGTGAGTTTGATTCCCGGTACCAGAAAAAAAAAACAAAAAAAAAATCTAAAAATATATTACAATGGCCAGGAATATGGCTCAGTGGCACAAGAGCCTACCTGGGAAGCACAATGTCCTGAGTCTGATTCCCTGTACCAAAAGAAAGGATAAAAATGTATTACAGTGAAAGACACATTGCTATTAATCCTCCCTTAAAATATTCTACCTTGGTTGGAATACATTTATCCCATCATTCTTGTCTTTTACTGTAATTTTTTTTAAAAGCTAAGCATTCACCATATCTTTCAGTCACCCCTTACCTATCTTCAGCTTAAATTAGAACTACAACCCAAATTCCTAAGGCAAATTTGTTTGATGCTAAAATGGTTGAGATTATACGTTTGATTTCCATTACTGTTTCCTATTGTCTGTTAGTTACCTTCTCTTCTATAACTTTATTAAGATGCCTCAAATTATTTCTTTAGTACTGAAGAAAATCAGGTGAAAAAATATGCAGATTATCTATTACAAAACTATCCGGACCTTGGCAGAGTATAGAGAAAATTCAGACTAGATCTTGCGGATATAGATCTTGTGTCTACAATAAGTTGTTAATTTATTGTACCTAACCATATGTAACAGCGACAAATTTTATCATCAGAGCTTAAAATTTTACCTTACTCTCTTAACCTTTTAAAACCTTATGAAATATTTGGAAAGACAGTTAACATAGTTCATAATTCCAATAATTACTCTCAACAATTCAAATACATTGCAATATCTTCCTGAGTGTTATAACACATTAGAAAGTTTTGCAGATTAGTGAGTCTTGAGTTTTCTTCTTCAAAATTCATTTACAGTACCAGGACTTTCTTCTCAGTTCTCCTTAATTAACCATTTGTTGGTTTTCAGCTTTGACAGATTTTCCTTTTAACAACTTGTAGATTAAAATTTAACTCCAGAGGTTTTGAATAGTCTTAAACTTGTAGTGGATTGTTTTGATAAAACATGGACATAGACACAATTCTAATAATTAACAAAACTTATTGTAGCCTACCCTTCATTCCAGGAGATAATGTTTAATCAAGTAAAAGTGCAATTTATCATTAATCTGGAGTGAATTATTTGAACTGACATCAACACACCCACCTTTTCACCCGGTATCACAACAATACTAGAAGGCTCTATTAACAATTTGAATCTCAATTCTGCCACTTAATTGCCATAGAACTTGGGAGAATTACCTGGCCTCTCTGGATCTCAATTTTGTCATTTAAAAAACTTGATTTTTTTAAAAAAAATCTTATTTTGACAAGATGTTTCGGACTCATTTTGCACTTGAGCTACTCCTGCCCTGGAATCAGCCATCTCGCCAGGGTGCCATTTCATATTTTGAGTAGAGAACAGAATCTCACTTCTTAGGCTGACTTTCCAGAGCAATACAGTTAGATGAAACTTTCAAGTGTTAGAAATACTTTAAGGTTCATTTATTCATTAAGTTTCCTTTGCATGCTTGGGGCTAGGTGCTCTAAATATAAATCCAATTCACATTTCAACAGCAAGGTCAAAATAACTGATGCAGTTAAAGGCTACAGATGTTCAGAGATGGGCTAGAAAGCTGGGAATTGAGAAATTTGAGAAAACACTAATATTTGAATAAGTAGAAAGGAACAGGGAGGACATTCTGGGGTTTAGCATGACAAAGGTGTAGGGGCATATCATATTAGGGAACCGAGACATTTGTTTAGTTGATAATTTGTGGGTGAGGGAACCCAGTTAATTGGAAGCCTGGATTCCAGTCTGACATTTAGAATTTATCCTGCATGTATTGAAGTGACCTTCACTTTTGAGGCTGAGTAGCCATAAAGCAAGTATTTTAGGAAATTTATTGTTATGCCATATTGCAGGATATTTGGAAAACAACAGACAAGTTAAGCCTCTGGTCTCAGGCGGTGGAGTATAAACTGAAAAGAATAAGTGGATAGGAAAATAAGTTGGAAGGAGGAAATGACTTTATTAGGGTGTTGACTTGGACTGTGGGACAGTGTCTAGCTCTGAAATAGAAAACTACTGATTTTTAGAAGGGAAAGAACAGAAATAAATTGTCAACAGAAACTCAAAGAAAAAAAGCAAGTTTGGTGGTACTGAATTTTTCTTTGTTTCTTTTTCTTTCCTTTCTTTTCATTTAAAAAATTTTTAAAATTTCTTTAGACTCCTTTTGGTGCCAGGGATTGAGCTCAGAGCCTCAGACATGCTCAGCACAGCCCTACCACAGAGCTGTATCTCCAGTTCCAATGATACTAAAATTTTTATCTAACTCTTTTTTATAATAGTTAATTAGTATCTATGGAATTACATCATAATTTTTTACACAAAATAATAGTTAAAAATTAATGACTTGGAGTCAGATAATGTCATAATTATCAGACACAGTAATATTTGCTGAATTTCCTAACACTATTAAAGTAGATATTCAGTAGTAGCATTGATACTTATAGCTTTAGGTGTATAGCACACAAAGAAGCTGTTTTGGCTTGATGTGTTCACACATTACCTGATTTAGACCAGTTCTTTGAATGGAGCTCCTGGTTCTTGATGGTTTGAAATGCATTGCTCTTATTGGCATTTGGGAAGGAGATATTTGTTTCCAAGCACTGCATATGATTCCTGTGGTGTTGTTGAAATTCATATGCCTACTTTCCTCTTTAAAAATAGCATCTCAAACTTCAACTTTGTCTAAGAAAAAAAACTTAGACACTAAGAACTTAGCTATATCTTAAAATCATCAAATATTGTGACAAAAATATTCTTTGCCTTAAGTGAGACCGTAAAGGCAGAAGAAGGGACCTGGATCCAAACACCCTACAGGAATTGAGAATGATGTTCTTGATGAAGTGTTTGACATTGTATTGATTTTTACTGTTAAACGTATTTTGGACTTACGGAGATCACTCTTTACTGAGATAGTCTGAACTAACACATGCAACCTCTAGCTACTGTTTCTTCATTTCTGAACTGGCTTGAGTCCTAGAGGTTACACTAGAGAACGAAACTTCATTCTCTCCGTAATTTTGCTCATTTGTTTGCTAATAGATTGTGGACTTTCTAATTAAAGTCTGTTGGAAGGAGTTATTCCATGAAGTAATGTCTGAACCATATAATGTGTTGGGCAGGTGCTGGATGGGTGACTGTCATAATTTCTGCTGGTACAGTTTTTGAAAAGGCAAATAGAGTCAGTTCTTTCTGTTGGAAAGAAGATTTCATGTTATCTGTCTTTGCAGGCTTTCTGGCTCGCGTGCCGGAGGAATCCTTGCTGCGGGGGTGTTTTCATTTTCGCGTCTAACATGGCAGTGGTCCATTGCAGCAGAGGTTTTTAGCTTAAACAATCTGTTTGTGGGGCTGCTTATGGCTCTTACTGTACATTTTGAGGAGGCGGAAACTGCAAAGGAGAGATCAAAGGTAACCTATTTTGATCAAAGTGAAATCATTTTTGTTTTAATTTTTAGACAGATTCTGTGTTTCCTTTTAACTTTGGTTTAGATGCTGTTTATCTGTTCTGATTACTGTCAGGGTAATCTCGCCATAAGAGAGAGAATGTTCTCTGTCCTTCAATTGTGAATAACCCACAATAGCCCTCATGGGACATGGGACTTTTTCTCCTCAGAGTTGAGAAGTTTCATGGGGAAGGAAGGATTATGAAACCCTCCTTGAGTGCTAGAGGAAAGGCAGTCTGCTTAGTTCATCCATCACTCTGTGTGTGTGTGTGTGTGTGTGTGTGTGTGTGTGTGTGTGTGATTGTAAAGTACCAGGCTCTAGGTGGACCAACCACCTTGCACTATAAATCATTATGGTTCATTGACGTACACAGATTGTGAAAATGATCAAATCTGTATTTGTTTAAAATAAAAGTATGAAATGTAAAAAGTAGCCCAGAAGAGGTTACACTGTTACCAAAACATCTGACCACAATGAAGCCAATATTTTGTAAAGTTAATATGCACTAATTTTCAACATACATATAAAAAAACCACTGCAGAGTCTTCTAATAGCTTGGCATCTACACATTGAAAATTGCTAGATTATCTTAGTGTGGGGCAGCCTTATGTTCTCAAAGAATATAGAAATCAAAGAACATTATGACTTAGCTGTTGTTCCCATGAACAGGTCCATGATGCTACTAGAGATTTTGTTTGAAATAATCTTTTTCTCATTCTGTTAAAGAAAGAGTTATTTAATACACTTGGTAGAGAACTGTGGACACACTTGATTCAGCTTTAGGTATAGGGACAACTGCAGTGGGGTTTTGTCATGAGGGAGAGAGATCAGGCTCAATTCCACATACAGGAAAGGTGAGAGCTGATACCCAGAACATGGTCTGGGTCAGGGGATGAAAATTCCTGAGGGGAGGCGGTCGGCTGATGGGAACCGGGCTCTTTTAACCTAACAGGATTCCCGCCAGGGTGACTGCAGGATGGAGTGGAGGAAGAGGCATGAGATCAGATTCCAGGTGCCCAGACAAGGAAGGTGAGGGCTCTGGCTGAGCGGACTCCGCAGAGCTCTTGCTAAAAGAAGACACTGCATGCTGGGTGCGCTTGTCCCCTGTCAGGGCCGAGTTAGAAGAGTTCAGAGGAGCCTGACGAGTTTGGTCAGGCAGAGCCTGTCTCAACTGAGAAAGGAATACGTGTCCAAACAGGCAAAGGTACTACCCAGCTCTCCGAGTACAGTATAAAGTGCTGTGTAATATGTTGATGCATATAGTAAGAAAAAAGTAAAACACAATTGCTCAGTTAATAGCTGTAAATTTTCCTTGAGAAAGGAAGGGTGCAAAAGATGGATGGAGAGAGGAAGGAGGAGTAGGGGATGGAAAAAGGAATGAAAATGTGTTAAGTACACATACCAACTGCACACAAGGAATGTAAACCTTATATACTGCACACGTGCTAATAGACTAAAATTAGACATAATAGGAATTATATGTTAGCACTTGATAGTTGGAAGATAGTCATTTAAGGTCAAACTGCAGTTGTTTGATGAGAATTGGAAACATTAACAAAAATTGATGATAAAACTGGGTGTGGTGGACCATAATTTATAATCTTAACACACAGACGCTGGGGCAGAGAGATCATGAGTTTAAGACCGCCTTTGAGAACATGACCAGACCTTCTCTCAAAAAATGATAGTGATAAATATTAGTGACTGATAAAGTGTAATTATTTGCATGTGAAAGGCTGATTTTATCCTGAACGATGATTCAAAATATTCGGTTTGAATAGTAAGAGTAGCTTTTTGTCATTGTGCTAGAGTTTTAGGTGAATTTCTAACTCAGTTTTTTTTTCTATTTGTTTTCAGATAGCTAAAATCGGTGCTTTCTGCTGTGGCCTTAGTTTGTGTAACCAGCACACAATAGTAATCTATGTTTTATGCATCATACCTTGGATTCTCTTTCAACTTTTAAAAGAGAAGGTAGGTTTCAAAATTATCAAAATAAAAATGCATCATATTTCATTTAAGTGATGGGCAATATTTATGCCACCAGAAAACCTGGAGTTTTAATTTTTCATGGGTTTTAGGTAAAGTGTAAATAGCCTTTGGCCTTAACAGTATTGACTTAAAAAAAAAAAGAGGATTTACAAAAATTATGCAGTATTGATTGCAGTGGCATCTGGCCTATTTTGTAATTTTCTCCGTGATTCAGAACAGCACCTCAATGAAAATAGGCTAAAAGGATATTAAATTTCCGTGATGGTTTTCTTACACATCCGAAGACACAGGTGGGTGCCAGGAATATATCACCCACTATTTTACTGCACACTGCGTGCCTGCCCTGTGTCGTGTGCTTGCACCACGTGCTTAGAGATTTAGCTCTCAGCAAACTGACCATGTCACTGCTCCTGTGAACTCCTTGAAATCTCTGAAAAGTAACAGTCTGTTTTCTTAGAATACGTTTCCCTAGAAGTAAAAATGATTTATCTTCATTTCATCTTTCTCTGAAAGAAAAATTATTGTTAATTAGAATGGCAGCAAAAGCACTATGGGAACATCGCTTTGTTCGGCACTGAGAGATTTGGGCGAGGGAAAGGCAGGAGGTTGGGTTAGGTACGAATGCCGGGAGGGTAAATGCCCTTTATTCTGTTAAGCTTCCTCCTGAAGGGCGACTCTCTGTGAACAAAGCTGGCGTTGACATCTTTGACTTTATTTTTTGTGGAGAAAGAGCTGCACTTATTTGTAACACATACTGTGTAGAATAAAATTAGATATAGAAATAAGGGAATAATTATACCAAAGCTTTAGATACAAGGGGTGATCAAAACACACAGTGAATGTTTAAAGAAACTCATTACACTGAAAGACACATTGCCATTACTCTTCCTCACGATCCTCCCCCTCACTTTGAACACACTTTTCCTGCCCTTGCCACTCTCTAAAGCAGCTCCTGAAGTCCTATTTTGTGTCTGTAACGAAGGTGATCAAAAATGCAGTGAATGCGGGTGCCTGCCACTATCTGACGGAAAGGCAGGCTTGTAAAAACATTACCATGGGTCCTCATCGGTTTTATTCATCAGAGCTGTCACTTGTGGCTCTTCCTCATAGTCAGAATGACCATGAAAGGTCAGTATTTGGGGTTGATTCAAGTGCTCATGACAGCACGATGGAAGACACTCATGAAAAAGACTTCCATTCAGAAGTGGGGAGGGCAATGAGATCAGTGTGTTTGAACAGAGGAGGAGAATGCTGAGGGGCGGGGGATTAATGTCAACCTGTCCTTTACTATGTGTGCACCCATGTTTATAGCAGCGCAATTTGTCATAGGTAAATCTTGGAAACAACCCAAATGCCCATCAACTGAGGAATGGATAAAAAGATGTGGTGTTTTTATACAATGGAGCATTACTCAGCTCTAAAGAAAGATAATCTCAAGGCTTTTATAGGTAAATGGATACAACTAGAGACCATACTCATAAGTGAAATAAATCAGACCTACATGTGTAAACATGGTATTGTCTCCCTATGGGAGAACCTGAAAGTGTAAATAAAATTGAAAAATTTTTAATATTTGCTGTATTTTTATTTTATCATACCTTGTGGTTGAATTTCCTATACTTGAACACATTTTGTTTCTTAGCATCTTGGCAACAAAGCAAAAAGGGTAACGTGATTATAACATTCTTATGATGTGACTAAAGAGTAAATAAAAGGTAAGCATAAGAGTTGACAGAGAAGAGCATCTTCTTCTTGGAATTGAGTTGAGCTCTATGAAGTCAATCTCATATGACTCATATCAGGGATATTAAACACCCTAGCAGGCGGGGTTTAGGTTTCCTAGTGTATGGGGAAATGTCTTTATACGATCTTTTCAAACATGAAGATTTTTATATGGAATGCAGAGCAGAGAAATCCCAAATAAGTTTCTCATGGATCAACAGATGCACAGAGGTGGGTGACCAGGCAGCGTGACACACGTCCTAGTGGGCTTCCAACCCAAGCGGACGTTAGAGAGGTGCATCCCCTGGAAGGAACCCCCAAAACAGATGCTTTGTGTTAGCTGACACTTCGTGCGGAACTCAGCGTTGATAGCTTAGGTGCCTGTTTGCCTGCGATGGAGGCAGGCTGTGGAAGAATGATGAAATTCTGCATGTTTGTTGTAAGTCCGTATTTAGATAGCAGAGGCTGGGACAGAGGGTCAACAGTGAAGTCTTCGGGTTGCTGGATCTTACTATGAGGTGACCTGAGGGCAGGGAGTGCCGAGTTGGCTAATCTCAACCCTGGCTGCACACCTCATTATCTGGGAAGCTTGAAAAACAAATGTGTGGACACATATGTACACATGTTTCCATACATGTAGATGCATCGGTACATGTGTGCATTTGGGCTGCACATTTGCTCCCATCCCCACATAATTCTGGTGTAACTGATCAGGGTGAGCCCTAAGCATCGGTTTGTTGGGCATCCTTTTTACTGCCCAGGTGACTCCACGGTGCAGCTGGGACTCAGAGCCGCCCTCCTCGCTCTGTGACCACTCTCGTAGAACTGTCTTCTGTTTATTTCTCGCACAGAATAAAAATGCTGCAGCAGCTGCATCTGACTGCCACACTATAAACATTTACTTCTCTGGAAAGCACTTTTAAGGTTTGCAGAGGCACGCTATGAGGTTAGGGATTCCTGCACTCTTTTCATGCTGTCGTTTTTCATGCATCTCATTACTGCTATGGAAATCGCAAATGAAATCAGTGCTACAACAAAAACACTTCATTTTCAATTAAGAGTGTTTATTTGAAAATGCTAATATAAATCTACTGCTTGTTCTACTTCTGGCAAATGTGAACCGTGGTTCTTATATTCACTTGCACAGATTAATTTCTCTGTTCTGTAAAAGAAAATTGGAAATTTCCAATTGTGATATTTGTAAGAGACCCCTTTTCCCCAGTTATTAAAGCAATCAGTGTTTTGTCTTTCTGGAATACCACAACTTATATTCTTTTGGACTTAATCATTGTGAAACTTTGTTGATGGAGTCCTTTGTTTTTGTACAGATCAGAAATACATTTCTCCCAAATAAGATACTTGAGAAAACACTTGTTATGTATAACAACACATTTCCTTTAATGTTGTATCCTAAATATAACTTGAGAGGCAAAAACAATTAGGTGAGCCTGGAGGTTATATATTGGCTAGTTTGATTTGTGCCAAACATTTCTGTGACATGTTCAGAGCCCTTTCACAAAGAATTACACTGTCATTATATAAATGAATAAAGCATATACTTGGGGTTCACTCCTAATGACGGTGACGAGGTGAATCGGTGTGAGAACGGTATTTGGGACATAGGCAAAATCAGGCCAGCAACACATTATCAGTCCCAAGTGCTTATCTCAGCTGTGCAGTGCTGCATTCTGTGACATGGTTTTAAATGTAAAAGACGGCAGTAAACACGATACTCTCACATCGTTGCTGATATGTTTGCTTCGCCTCTATTTCCCCTGCCAGGTAAAGGAGTTCAGGCTGGTGCAATTTCCTAGTAATCCACAGTAATAGGAAGGGTTAGCATAGTACTTGGTAGTGAGCTGATATAAATTGGGAGATGAGCTTTGAGCAAACATGTAAGTTTCAGGACAAATCAACTAAAATAAACACTGCCACACCACCCGTGTGCTCTGCTGCAGGAGCTGTCCCTGGGATCCGTGCTGAAGCTGAGTCTGGCCTTTTCAGCTGGTTTGTTACCCTACCTCTACCTCCCTGTCTCATCCTACCTCAACCAGGCCCGCTGGACCTGGGGCGACCAGACCACAGTGCGCGGGTTTCTGACACATTTTCTCAGGGAAGAATATGGAACATTCAGCCTGGTAAGCGTGCGCCTACAGCCCTGCTAAGGAAAGAAGTGGCAAAACTTCAGGCCTGGGCCTTGATTGAGAAAACAGTGTTTATCAATGAAAGTGGTTAGAATTTTCATCTAGTCATTTATGTACTAAACTTGTCCCTTAACATAACTTAGAAAAATATCAGAACCATTTGGCCTAAAATCATACTGTTGTATAGCCCGGATATACTTTTCAGGATGACAGGCATTAGGCTGAAGATTTTCAGTCTTGTTAGCATAGGGTAGCCGTGTGGGCCCTTGATCTGGGAGTAGACATATCTGAAAAAGAATTGAGGGAAAGAGACCTCAAAATTTTTAATTTACCTTTCCAAAACATTTCCTTAAAACAAATTGATGGACACGTTCATGTTACTAATTAGTCTTTAAAACAGAAAACCTACCTGTAAACGCTTTGTAAAATACGAGTTCGGTAAATGGGAATAGTGTGCTATAAAGAAATTCAGAAGGTCTTGTTTTCCCTGAGATGTAGTAAGAAAAAAAATTAAATATAGTTACAGTAAAGGTCACCTGAACAAAGGACAAACAACAGCTACCTTGGTATAGGCAGTTCTTCAAGGGTTTCTCCCATGGTTTGTGTTCCGTGCATCGCTAAGAGAGCCTCAAGAGTATGGTGTATGATACTGTTTATACAGAATTCCAAACATTGCAAGCCTAGACAGTCTTATTCAAAGATACATTCAAAAGTAGTAAAACTCTGTATTTCTAAAACATAGGGGAGTCATGAACACCAGGTTCAAGGTCGTAGTTACCTCTGGGGGCTAAGGAGGGAGAAGTTTGTGGGGGCTTCATGATGCTGTGTGGTTTTGGTGAGGTTTTGTTTCTGGTTTTTTTGTTTGTTTGTTTGTTTTGTTTTTTTTTCTGGTATTGAGAATTGAACTCACGACCTTGTGCTTGCCAGGCAAGTGCTGTGCCACTGAGCTAAATCCCCAGCCCTGAGGTTTTGTTTCTTAAATGAATGGTGGATCTTATATTTAAAAAGAAAACTTTATCCCTTAAATATTTATTATGTATAGTTAACATATAGATATTAGATACTATATATATCTTATATAGGTACTAGACATTTCATAAAAATGGGTTAATAAGATGAATATTATTGACATTTGAAAGTTTGATATTTTAAATTCAACTGTGTTTATATTGATCAATCCAATTTGAACTTTGTATCATTCACACATAATTGTGAAATTATGGACTACCATGTTATAATGGACTCTAGTCAGAATGCTCCAAAGAGAGTAGAAGAAGTGTTCATAACAGAAGTATTAAAAGTCTGTTAATAGCCAGGCATGCCTATAATCCCAGCACTCAGGAGGCTGAGGCAGGAGGATCACTGAGAGTTCAAGGCCAGCCTGGGCTACATAGTGAACTCAAGGCCAGCCTGAACTATACAGTAAGACCCTGTCTCATACACAAAAAAGTCTGTTAATTTGTTAATGTGTTGATCATTCCTGCTGGAAAAGTTGAACTACTTTTTAGCTAGGTATTTCTAATATCTTTGCTGAAAGTTGTCCAAGTTTTGTTTTTATTGACTAAAAATCCAGCAAGGCTTTGTGGACTTTAAAAGAAGAGAAATATGCATTGTATATTGAAAACATGTATCTTTTAAGTGAAGATTGTTAAAATGCAGTAATGTAACAAAGCTGCAGTTTAATGCTTATGCAAATAAGTGTTCTCTTTTGTGTTTAGGCCAAATCTGAAATAGGATCCAGTATGTCTAAAATACTGCTGTGAGTATGAAATATTTAAAACTATTTTATAATAAATCTCCATTAGTTCTTTTAAATGTCTGTTAAGGATTGCTGGGTTCTCTTTGTGAAGAAGTATGTCTGAGCATTAGTTTTCATCTCTATAATTAATAGTTGTTTGCAAATACTGTATTGTGATATATTTTAGCATTTTTCTCAGTAAGATAAAGCTTAAAGTGAGCAGTAAATACAACCGTGAATAAGGATACTGGGAGAATAGATAGAACCTAAAAAACTAAAATGTGTCAACTTCCAATCTAATGCAAAATTACCCAATATACTGTTGCTTTGTAAATAATTTATTCTCTGTCTGGGGTTTTTATATTGTCTTTATTTAACTGAAATTTTATAACATTGTATTTTCATAGTTTGACAATTATTTTCTTGTTATTTTGGCTGGAAGTATGTTTTTAATTCTTCAGAGCTTAATTTATGTATTAATATTTCTTGTGACTTTTCTTGGCTGTCCTTGTCATAAGCTCTGTTTTTGACTTACATATTTTTAAGATCCAACCTTATTAGAGCCAGCTTAAGCAAATATATTTTCATCTATATTATCCAGTAGTGTTCTTTAAAAATGGGTTAATAGTTGCTTAAAACGTACTTAGATTGAGATAGTTGAAAATATGCACACCAATTTAAAAATATCCATATCAACTATAATACTTTAAAATTCCTGAATAAAATAGATTTCTTATAACATGAAAGTGATCGCCTAGCTAATTACCAGTTTGGAACTCTCAGGACTATTTGAAAAAAGTATGAAGAGAATATTTCAACTTTACATATGAGGCCGTTTTTAAGTTGTCAGTTTGCCTTGTGTGCTAACTTCCAGTCAGCTTTTCTTTCTTTATAAACAACTTTTCCCCACACCAGAAAGATATATATCTTTACATTATATTTTTATAGATACATTATCTTATTATTGAATTAGAAACTAAGTAAACAAAAATAAGAAAATTAAAATGACCTATAATCCCAGCATGCAAAGATAATCACTGTTCTTAGATTGTTAACATTTTTCTCTGTGTTTTGAACTTTTATAAATTGTGTGTGTATGTGTATGTGTTTGTATGTGTGTGTGTGTGTGTGTGTATCTGTGTGTATTCGTTTAAGTGAGATAATTGCCTGGTGTGGTGGCACATGCCTGTAACCCAACCCTCAGGGGAGGCTAAGGCAAGAGGAGCATGATTTTAAGGCCAGCCTGGGCTCTACAGGGAGACACTGCCTCAAAAAAAAAAAAAAAAAAATCATATTATACATGCTATTTTATTAGCGTACTGTTTTTCACATTACACATCTGGAAAACATTTCCCTGTCAACAATTATTCTTACACAGCCTTTTGATGATTCTCTTAGTTGATTTTAAGTATTTCTTTTTATGTCTGACTTAGAGTTTGTGACTCCTGTGTTTGGCGAGGAGAAAGCAGCAAGCTCAGTTTCTTTTAATTCGCTGTGTTCTCTCTACTCCACACTCCTCTCTGCTCACTTTCCCCAGGCTGGCACAGGGCAGCGTGCAGGGTTAAGGTCACATTTACTTCAGCAAATCCCACAGGGGCCCTAACCTCTCGTAAGAAGAATCTTAGACCATGCATCCAACGTGTTATCTGTACATAAAAGTCACCTCAGGGGGGCATTTAAAGCCCTCCTTTACATTAGAATAGTAGCTGTTGGGTTTCATACCCAGAAAAAGACCAGACCAAAATGATGCCCACACCCTTCCGAACTGCTTGCTAGGTGGTCTGCAACCCAGAGGCAGAGCCCGAGCTCACTCAGAGTGAGCATTTCCGGTCCTCCATTGTTTCAGGTGGACAGGAGTATTGAAAAAGACAACTAATAATGCATTACAAAAAGTTCTTCAGAGCGATAGAACCTAATCATCTGCCCTTTTCTAGCCAAGCAAATTAAATTCTTTCCCTGTGCATATCTCTAAATTGCAATCCTGTATAAGGAAATTATTGAATCTAACCTTAGGCAGTGACCATCTTTTAGAGCTTATGTTTAAGCAACAGATCTCTAAGAATTAATTTTGAGACTGGCTTCATTTCTTTTGAAGGAATGCACCTCATGCTAAAATCAATTTTTCAAGTACATTTGCAAATGAGTTAGGATAACTTCTCATAGTAGATGAGCTTCCATTAGTAAAATACATATTGTGTGGTTTCTGTAATTATGGCATCACATTTTTTCCAGTAAAATTGCCAGTAGGAAGAAGAAAGTTCCTGGAGATGGTGTGTAATTGTTTCTTTTTTAAAAATCAAAGACTGCTACAGCAATGGCCATTTTAAATAACACTTGAAGTATGCTTCTTAGTGGTCAGAGGATCTTTCTCTTGGCCTTTTTTATTTTCCTTTCATGATTTACTCTCCAGAAAATACTTTTAATTAATTTTATTTTCAATTACTAAATTACTAGTGACCATGTCCACATTATTGACAGAATAAAATTCAAAAGCCCCTTTCAAACAAGTTAGCATACTGGATGGAATATCCATTCAGAATATCAGCATTAAAAATATAAAAGAATTATTTATATACATGTTGATAATTAAAAATTACAATTGGAAAACATCTTAGAAGTATTAACTCTTTGTATGGTGATAATCAAGTACATTCTACCGAGAATATTTTATTTTCAATTACCCGAACTTGTTTTCTCCCAGCAATAAGTTGGTTTGTTTTTCACAGTTCTCAAGTAACAAGTATGAGGACAGAACTCTCACTCAATATTCAAGCCCTCGCAGTTTGGACGAATGTATATTCAGCAAGAAAGTGAGTAAAATAATTCCTTTTCCTGTCATTTTTACCATGGTCATTAATTGGATTAATGTTTTCCATATATCATTGCAGAACACTGCCATATTCTTTATGTTCCAAATCAGTGGCTCTGCTAGCTATTTCTAAGGCAAATATGCTCATTTTCTTCCTGGTTCATTTTATCTTCTGGTTATAAATCAGTGTGTCAGAAAATGATCAGTTTATGCAAAGAGGCAGGTCATTTGCTGTCTCAAACTTTGGTTTTGATTGCTTACTCTGCCCACAGCTAGCTGTTATTATCAATTTACAAAGAAAGCAAATAACTATTTAAATTCCTCTGATAATGAAAGAAAACCTTAGTCCCCATTAATTTTTTATTCATTATAATTTCACATCTGTTGAATTTATTTATATGTAAATATAAACCTGTACATACATGTAGAAGTTTTATTTGCATAATACTTAACATTGTATTGTTAACATTTTCCCATACCAAAAAATTAGAATTAAAACAATTTAAATGCCTATATTCCATCCTGTGAGCATAGAAAAGTAAATTTAAATCTTGTCCTGTTTGAGAATCATTTGATTGCTTCTACTTTTTCCACCGTTATGAATGCTTATCAGAGTATTTTTATGCACTGATATTTTTCATATTTCTATTTACTGCTTAAAGATTTATACTTGAATTTTAAATGAATGAGTAAATGATTATGAGTATTATTAAGGCTCCTCATGGAGATATTATTTAATTAATTTTTCTTAAAGGTTATACTAACATATTCTCATCCTAAATTCTCACCAACATTGAGATATGTCACTTTTAAATCTTTATTATTTCAAGCACAAAAATAATGCTTTTGTTGTATATGATTGATTACTTCTGAAATTTAACAAGAGGAATAGTTTATATTCTGTCTGTGAATATCCTTTGCTTCCTAGTTCCAACTTAAATTGCCTACAATATACAATTCAAGTTTATTACTAGATTTTGGTTGTCTATTCCTACTCAGATTTTAAAAGCTAAGATTTTTCTTCTTAAAAATGGTAAGTTTTGGAAATGGAAATACTTTTCCTATAGCTTAAAGCTGTGTATTATTATTGGTGTTTATGCATATAGATAATTTCTATTTTTGTTTTTGTAGGGACAGACAGAATTCATCATTAGTTTGGCTTTTTACTGGAATGTTTTACATTTACTCATTGTTCTTTGCTTGGAGGGCAAATTTAGATATTTCAAAACCACTTTTCATGGGTGTGGTAAGTTGTACTTACATGTACATTCTTTAACCAGGAGTTTATGAAGATTGTACAAGTCTGCCTTTCATGAACTTTGTAGAAGAACAAACAATTTCAGGAATAAAGTCATATATATACAATTTTTATAGATCAGAAGTTAAATTATTAACCCATTGAGACTAAACCCAGTTTTAGGGAGGACTTCTAACATTTAGTTAACACTGTTGTGAAATATAAAAACAGATCTCAGACATTTTACTCATTGTGTGTGTGTGTGTATTTACTTGCAAATATATGTACAATTGCATTTCGCCTGGGAATTTTTTAGAATAGCAAAAGAAATAAGGGTAGAACTGAGGCACTTAACATTCCTTCACTCTTTAGCTCACAGACCCAGGACTGTGCCAAATAGCTGTTTTCCCAGCAGCCGTCTCTGAGATTAGGGTATTTCTTCTCCTCACAATGGAAACTCTGTACATGTATCAACTGAGAAACAAGATAAGCCAGTGTAAATGGGGTGAGCCACTTTACTGCCGGTCATCCTGACACTGCAGAATGTGTCTCCATCTGTGTGCAAGGGCCGTCCTCATGCTGCTGGCAGGATGGGTAGACCCCGCCGCCGTCACCTGCCAGCTGCGCGGGACAGGCCTGGCCCTGTCACCATCCACTGGCGCCACAGACTCTGCCTCTGGACAGATGCTTCCTGGGGCAGCTCACTTCCGAGAGTAGGGGTGGCAGGGGGGTGAGGGAGAGGGGCGGGCTAGCAGGCTCAAGCCCAGCTTCCCACTCCCTGGCAGATCAGTCCCTGCATCTTACAGGAAGAAGGAAGGGAGGGGAAACCAGGAGTCAGGCCAGACCATTTTCCTGCCTTCTCCACCCTATTTCTGGAGCCCAAGATGGACCATTACGATACTGAAGTGAATATTTGCATCCAAAAAGGAAGATGCAGGCTCAGGATATAACTCAGTGGCAGAATGCTTGTCTAGCCTGCACAAGGCCCTGAGTTCCATCCTCAGCACCACCAAAAATAAAAAATTAAATTAAAAATACAAAGAAAGAAGCCTTTGTCAGACTTTGCTTGAAAACTGAAAAATGAAGAAATGTGTATGGGATTTGGTTCGGAGGTCAGTTAACAAGGTCCACGTGAGAGCAGGCGCAGTACTAGGCATACACAGTGTGTTGTCAGAACAGGAAGTACCCGACTGACTGCACAAGCAGCCAGCGGGACACCTGGCTTGTGTGTCTCCCGCAGGTGGAACGGTTCTGGATGCAGAGCAACGCCGTGGTGGCCGTCCTCGCTGGCCTGGGCTTGGCCACACTCACCTCTGAGACTAAGCGAGCGCTGAACAGCGGTGGGCTTCAGTGTCTGGAATGGCTTTCAGCAATTCTGTTTGTGGTTTACCAAATGTATTCTAATTATAGGTAACCCAGGGTTATTTTTATGAAAAGTAGCAACCAAAACAGAGACATTTGGAGACTTAGATTGCGGGACTTCATTTCATTTTTAGCTTGTATTTTTTTCCAAGACTTGAGTGAGGCACCTCAGTCTGAGAGCAGTGGTCTTTGATGCTGGGAGTTGTTGGTCCTCCTGAGACAGAGCCCTGAATGGGTGACGGTGTATTCTGACCCCTGTGTTCAGGGTACGCAGACTGCACGCTGTCTCCTGAAGAACCCGGAACTCGCTCTGTAGAATTCGGAGTATATGTAAAATTCCACGATCTAAAATATCACTTGCATGGAGAATAAAGAGACTTGCAGATTTTTATATACAGTGCTCCAAAAAGTTCATCTTTTGAGGAATATTGGGTCTTTTTCTGGTTAACTTTGTAGTAGAGACTATTAATTATTTTTAAATTAAGTTCTGAAAGTTTCTTAACTCTCACATAGTATTTTTACATATATATATATGTATTTTTAAATCTTTGATGATCATAATGAAATCTCAGTGTGACAGAAAAGATGTCTAAGTCTTAGATGACAGTTCATTTCTAGCAGTTTGATACACGTTACAGAAGAGAAAGTGCTTCGGTGTTTTGTTACAGTGAGACTTGACTGGAATCATTTTAGGATAAACTTCCTCTTGCAGCTTAACTGACAGCGTGGTCCCTTGTCCTCCCAAGGGCTCCTGAGCTGCGTGTCTGTGGGAGGAGGCTGCCCTCCTCCGGGTGGCTTGGGCTCAGTCACTCTGCCCAGCCTTGTACCAGCGGTGTGTGCACAGACTGGGCGGTTCATCTTGTTCTGATGTCTTTGTGTGCCCCAAGGGAATAGCATTGCTAGCACTTTGCAGGGTGGGAAAGTGTATGCCACCACCCACAGCGAGGTGGGGAGCAGTGGTAGGAAAAGTCACCCTCCCATCCACTGCAAAGGCAGGGTAATACTGCATTCCTACAAGTCTATTTGCTTTGTGAGGCCATAATTCAGCTTTAGGCAGTGCCTCCTCTGCTCCATCAAATGTAACACACGTGATAGCAAGAGGAAGGACATTCCTTCTCCCATTTTTTGATGCTGCTTCTCTTTTCGTGTTAAGTTCTCAGAACTCATCACTTTTTCTTTGAAGGTAGAAAGTCTGCTTTGTTCTTGAAAAGAGCTGTGCTGCTGCTCTTGGCAAAAGCAAACAGTGCCTGGAGAGAGGTGGACAAAACTCTCCTGCTCTGCCTTGTTCTGGCCTGGAGGGGAGAGAGGATGCAGGAAATGTGGGGTGCAGGGAAGCGGTGGGGAGGGTCAGCCTCTGCGTGCTGGGGCACCACACAACTGCCACACATGTTCACAATGGAAGCTGGCAGGTTTCTTTTTGCATTTCTGAAAGTTCCTTTGGTGTAAATGGAGTTAACATGAAACTACCTTAATTCCATGTAGTCACAAACCTTAGCTTTGTTGGATGCAATTGGATTACGTTTGGGGGGACTTTTTCTTGGACACTGACTGATTCCCTTTTTATGAAGATGGTTATAAATTCTAGAGGTATTAGCAGCAGACTGGGTTTTTCAGTTGTATAGTTAGGTATTTCTTTTCTATCAGATAATAGTGTTTTTTCCAAGTATATGCATCCTCTCAGAGGTTATAAATTAAGAAATATTGAAACTCTAAATGTAATTGTGTGATTTGAAAGGAATGTCATTGTTCTTAAAACTTAGCTATTTGTTGCTGCAACTTTAACTTTTATTATGTTTCTGTTTAGCATTTGTGACCAGAGGACCAACAATGTGATCAGTACATTTGCAAAGAACCTTCTAGACTCTATGCCCCATGATGCAATCATCTTACTCAGAGGTGACTTGCCAGGGAACGCGCTCCGTTACATGCACTACTGCGAGGGCTTACGGCCAGATATTTCATTAGTGGATCAAGAAGTAAGTATATATAATATATAATACATAATATGTAAAATACATCCACAGTATAGCAATCATTTTTGAAACATTTTTGAAAAACACTGTCTTTTAAATAATAGATGAGTGCATTGTTCATAATCACTCTTAGACTACATATCACATTCTTTTGTTTAACTCATAATACAAATCATACTCATTGTTTATCAGTTAAACTAACTGTTTTAAGGATTACTGTGTTGTGTCGGCTTAGTCCTACATGCGTGTAACCCCAGCTGCCTGGGAGGATGAGGTAGGAGGATCACAAGTCTGAGATGAGCCTGGGCAACTTGGTAGATTCTTTTCTCAAAATAAAAACTTTCAAAAGAGCAAAGAATGTAGTTCAAGAGTAGAGCATTAACCGTGACCCTGACCCGAAGTTGAATATAATATGAATCATACTGTGGGAAAGTAAACATCTCAAATAATTTCTCAAAATAAAAATTATTAGCCAAAACTCTGCTATAGAATTTTTATATAATCTTTAATGATCCTATGACAAAGATACATTAGGAGGGAACTTGCAGAAATTTTGATGGGTAGTAAGACAATTTTTTACAACTGAAAAACTATATTTAAACATAAGTTTTATTATTTAGGCCATGAATACCAGAAAAGGATCAAACCTAACTGGTATTTGGAGGCAGTATCAGGAAAAGAGAAAGTCTTAATCTTGAAATAATATGATTAGTTTAGTTGAACGAATATTTAATAAACAGTTGAACTAAAAAATAATTAGAATTTTGGGGAAAAACTATAAACAAATTTTCAAATAGTCTATAAGGAACTTTGCAATTTGCATGTATTTTATAAGCAATTTGCATTTACATTATGTATATAAATTAATGAATTTGATCTTTAGTTTAGCTTCTGAAAAAAATTTACTTGCTGATAACATGATATTGTACTGATTTTACATACTACTTGCGGGGGTATAGCCCAGTGGTAGAGTACATGCCTAGCATGTGTGGGGCCCTGAGTTAAATCCCAGCACTTAAATTGTATATAATGTGTATGTATTATTTGTGCATGTTGTTGGTGTGTATATGTAAAATATGTATGTCATGTATATGTACTACTTGGGGAAGGGGCTACTATAGTTGAGAAGCATGGATTTCACAGAGAATAAGACCTAAATCCCAGTCTTCATTCTGTCATTTCCAAGATGTGTGAGGGACAAGTGATTTTTCTTCTCAGAGCTTCTGTTCCCTTATGCATGAAATAGAAGTTATCATTATAAAATAGGAGGTTTTAGAATGCAAAAAACAGAATGCCTGAGGAAGAATAGCTTAAATTATGGAGTTTTATTTCACGTAACAAGTAGTTGGGAAATAAGCTGCTTTAGTATTGTTACACGCTATTCAATGATAGCAGTATTTCAGGGGGCTTCTCTGACTTTCCACTCATAGTTGCAAGATGAATGCTCACTTCCAAACATCCTACCTTAAGTCAAGGTGCTTCTTCTGGGGCCCCACCTCCCCCACCTCTGCACTGGGAGAATTTCAGCAGTGTGGGTTCATATGCCAACACCTGCAGTACTTACTAGCCAAGAGAATGATTAGACTGGAGCACACTACTGCCCTGGTCAAAAGAGGACATCAGCAAAAAAGGTAGTAGCTGTTGGATGGGCAACCAGCAGTATCTGACACAATTACTCTCATATAGTAAGTTCATTATGAAAATTAACTGAGGAACATGAAGTTCATTAACACACAGAGGATATTTAATTAATATCAGTATTTCCCAAAACTGAAACTATCGGGTGATAAACTCTAATACAGTAAATATTTCTTGAATTTTAGAAGGTACACTTGGATTAAAATTAATTTCTAGCTGGGCATGGTGGTGAATGCCTGTAATCCAAGCTACTAAGAGGGCTGAGGCAGAAGGATGACAATCCAAGGCCAGCTTGAGCAACTTAGTAAGACTCTCTCACACAAATAAAAAATAAAATCAGCTGGGTATGTAGCTCATTGGCCAAGTGCCCCTGTGTTTGATGCCTAGTATCACAAAATAAAAAAATAACGATTTGCTAGTTAAACACCTTAATGAAGGCAAACATAAGCAATTGTTCAAATGGTAATATATAAGCTCTACTAAAGCTTTCAAAGTATTGTCTTTTGTACATACAAAGAGAGGGATTCTCCACATAAAAGTCTGGAATTAAGTAATAAGTATATATTAAGAATAGAATTAAGAAAAGTGATTTTCTTCTAATAATGTAATGAAAAGAACATGTAAAGATATGTAATTAACTTGGGAGTACTAATAAATTGAGCTAATTTGGCCAGAGGGTTTTTGATTTGAGGCCTAGATTTTTATGAACAGGCATTGCACAGCGAGCACGCAGGCTCTCTGAATGGATGAGGCGGTGCTGTGCTGACACAGTTGTGTTGCTTGCCTGGCGGCCTAGCCTGGCCTTTCACAGAAGTTTCACTTAAGTACACGCAATTCGAGAACTTTCCTACGCACTGAGCCGAGCAGGCCTCCCTCCCTCGGGGCACAGTTGTGGGAGGAACACGCCAAGAGCTGTGCTGGGAGCCCAGGGAGGGAGGGAGGCCTCCCAGGTGAGACTTCCGCTCTTTCCGGAAGCACAAGTGGGGCCCACCCTCAGAGTGACAGTGGAGGGGATGACCCTGAGGACCGGTGCTGCGGAAACAGTCCTAAAATCCAAGATTTGGTCATTTAAAGGGCGGCCAGGACCACACTCCTCTGTTGTGCTTGAAAGTATTCAATTACTAAACAAGTATATTCACATTTAAAACATTTTATACTTGCTAACCTTGATTTTATGAAGTATACTAAAAGTGTATCATATGCTATTTTCTGGCAGATGATGACTTATGAGTGGTACTTACCCAAGGTGGCAAAGCATTTGCCAGGTGTCCATTTTCCCGGGGACCGGTGGAATCCTGTGGAAGGAGTATTACCTACTGGAATGGTCACATTTAATCTTTATCGTTTTCTTGAAATAAATAAACAGTAAGCATTCTTTTCATATAATAGCTTTTCTGAAATCTTAAGCTTTTCTAAAATTATTTCTGTAACAGCTGCGCCTCACCAAAAGACCAATTTTCTACACCTATTTCCCTGTCACCGGTGAGATTATCTTTGTAATTAAATTGAATATCTGTGCATAAATGAGGCCAGGCAGGAATAAATGTTATTGTTCTGGGTAAAGGAAAAATAAAGACAGATTAGCAAGAGCAGCAAATAAGATCTTAGTACAATTCAGAGAAATTGGAGATGTGCCTTCCTACTTGAAATCGTTGCAGGTGTATTGCAAGCAATTATAGTTTCCTCCTGATCAACACCGTGGCCCCCTTTTAAGTGTAAAGCAAATTTTTTTCAGGAATAATCATTGTATAAAAATAGCTTAAGGATTTTGTTTTATAAAGGATAAGACATTTTTATAAATAAGAGAAACACCTACAGTTTACTCACTGAGATAAAAAGTATGATAATTATGAATTCTATACTTGAGAACATAAAATTATTCATAGTTAAGGTCAACAATAAAAGCTCTGTCAGTGGTGTAGTTTTGAACACTTCTCCTGTCATTGACATGTTCAAGATTGTCCAGAGCTTGAAAAGGAGGAAAACTTATTCATGACTTTTTCTTTCTTATAAAGAAGACTTCAGAAAATCTTTGTAAATCCTCAAGTTAAGTCAGCCCTGGCTACAAGCCTAATGCCAGTGTTCAGAGCCTGTGTTTACAGTGGCTTGTGGCGTAACACAGGCAATGGGTATAAATGTGCTGTGCGGGGAGCGGTGATTCTATTCTAGAATGAAAGATGCAGAACCTAACAGTCCCAGAAAGGCATTTTTGTGGATTTTATTTAATTTAGTCCCACAAAATTTAATTTGAGTCAGGCTGTGGCAATAAAAAGATAAATGAAACTCAGTTTCAAATCCAGGTAGACCATAGTCTAGTTGTGTATGTACATGCGTGTGGCTGTAACTAGCAGCACCACAGTAAGCTCTGTGCTGGCTTTGTGGTGTAGGCATGAATACTCAGTGTGTGTCTACTAATAGATCATTTCCTGAGTGGGTGATGAGTGTTCTGGGGTCATGGATGGGGCAGCCATTAATTCTGCCTGAGGGCATCCACTGAGCATTTGTTTAACAAATACGAGGACTCCAGAATGTTCCAGGAACAGTGTTATAGAAATACTGCGTGCCCCTCAGGGAAGCACTACGCAATCCAGAAGAGTGTGAAGCCATTGGTATCATCTGGATTTCAGGGACAACCACTGTTAACATTCTGACGAACTTATTTTGGATTCCATTCAATTTTAACATAAATTTTTACTTATACATAGACGAGGTCACACACATAGCATATTTTACATAGCTAGGACAGTGTCTCATTTTCTTTCCGTTTCTTCACCTAACATAAGTGCCGCCTATGTAATTAATGAAATGTCTTCAGTGCCATCATTTTTGCTATATAATATTTCCATAGTAAATCATATTTTAACAAATACTCTATTTTCTTAAGAAACTTTTGTTGTTTCTAGACTTTTGCTTCTTTAATATGGTGACAAACATTCTGGCCCATAAAGTTTTGTGAATATTTTTTACTAATGAAGTCTCAGGGTAAACATCATTTATTGGTGTCTGTTTTTAAAATAAAGTTTAAAATAACATGTGTTAATTATAGAATAAGAAATTATGTTTAAATGTCAGACAAATATGATCCTGTCACTCATCAATAATAAATATATTGAAGATGTGTATTTTTTACAAAGTTGAAAGCATAATGTAAGAGTCCTGTTTTTTTCATTCAACAGCATAAAGACATTTCCTGCTTTTACAAACTCTGTGTAACTGTTTTAATAGACGCATGCTACAGTTTAAATAATAGGACTGTTTAGTAGACAATAACATGGTATCTACATTTTAACTATAATATTATGAGCTAGAACAAATGCCTTTTTGCATGTGGAAGAGACAGAATTTTAAGTTATTATTAGCATAGGATAATTAGTAAATTAGAATATTAGAATAATTCTGATAATAATACAATGTTAGTATTTCATTTAGTAATGAAATTGCTAAGTGCAAGATGTGAATGATCTAAGGCAACTTGGTAGGGATTGTCTCTAAGTGTTAGACCATCATCATATAAAAGCTCTCTAAATGGGTACTTTTAAAAGGCAGGAAGCCAATATTTATTGAACAAATATTTTATTTTTATGTTTATCATGCAGTAAAATATGTTTTGGTATATAGTTGTATGAATTTTAACACAAGTATAGGTTTATGTATTCATCACAACAATCAAAATATAGAACAACAGTCTGTGGCCCCAAAACGCCCTTCGTGCTGCCCTCCTGTGGCCTTACTGTCTGTCCCTCAGCCCTCATCCTGGCAGCCCCTCTCTGTCCTTCACTAGTAGTGGTTTTACCTCTTCCAGAATGTCACATAAAGGGAAACGTAGAGCATGCTGGTTTTGGTTATGGTGTATTTCACTCAGCGCACTGCCTTTGAGATCCATCCAAGCTGTATCGTAGTTCTTTTTGGGGGTTGTTGAGTCGTGCGCTTTGCTTTTTTTACCTATTGAGTTTTGAAGGTTTCTTTATGTATTCTAGATGTGAAACATTTATCATGTATGCAATTTGCAAATATTTTCTATGTCTTTTTATTTTTTTACAGGTGTCTTTTGTAGAAAAATTTTTTTGTTTCAATGAAAACCAATTTTTTTTTCTTTTATTGGTCATACTTTTGATTTCATATCTAAGAACTCAGCATAGTATCAAGACATAAAAATGTTCTCATGTTTTCTTCTAAGAGGTTGTACTGCTTTGTTTTTGTATATAAGATGTCAGATTGTCCTCACACTGTTTAATTTCTCCACTCCATGCTATTTGAAACTTTCTCTATTACCTACCTGCAAAAAAAAAAGTCCTTGTGAGTTTTTTTATTGGTTTTAATTTGCTTACTGTTTTCATTGTGTGTTTTTCATTCTCTTTTAACCAATCTGTGTCATATTTAAGATGTGTGTCTTGTAGACAACATATATTTAGGTCTTTACTACACATTTTATTTCTTTGTTTTTATTTTATGAACAAATAAAACAAAAGTTCATTACAAAATAATAATAATAACAATAATGAATAGACTATATCATCATCTTCAAAGTAGTTAATCAGGGTACAATACATAGGCAAAAAAAAAAAAAGATTTTCTCTTACAAAGAAGAAACAGATAATAGCTTTTTTTAACTATTGTCTTTAGATTGTTTACATTTAATGTGAATATTGATGTTTAGATGTATATAATTTTATTGTTTGCTTTGTTTGTTCCGTTTTTTATTATACCATTTTCCCTTTTCTGCCTTTTTTTGGATTGTTTAATTTTTTAAAAAAATTTCTTGAGATTTTTATTATCTATCTTGGTAAACGTGCTTTTTTGTTTCCTTGTGTTTTTTGCTGTTGCTGTTGGGTTTTTCCTTTTTCTACTCAGTGCTCTTGAGAGTACAGTATGCGCACCAACTTGCCACAGTTACTTAGGGGTAATATTTTACCATTTCTGGTGGACTTCAGAAACCTTACTGCTGTGTTAGTCCAGATACTTAATTCTCCATGCTTTTGCATTATTATATGTATTACATCATACATATGCTAATTTTCTTTTCAATTTTTATATATGTATATATTAAAGAATGTAAGAAGAAAAATATTCTATAATATTTATCTGGATGTTTAGCAGGTCTGTTGTTCTTCCTTCAGTCCTGGTATTCTAGGTATCTTCTCATGTCATTCATTTCCTTTCCCTCTTAGAACAGAACTATTAGTGGATCCTCTTAATTATCTCTCATCCAGAAATGTTTTTATTTCAATTTTTTTGATATTTGTGAACATAGAACTCTGAGTTGATAATGTTATTTTATGTCTTTTGATTCATCTGTTTATGAAGCGATAGCCACATTTAAATAGCTGTTCTGGTTGAAATGTGTTTTTGTTAGTGCTTTCAAGACTTCGTATTTGTTTTAGTTTTCAGTTGTTTGATTATATGCTGTGTGAGCATGCGTGTGAATGTTTGGGGTTTCCAAAGTTTCTTGACTTTGTAAATTAGGTCTTTCACAAATGTAAGCTTCTCAGCCATTACTTTTTTCTTTTTTTCTGTTTCATATTCTTTGTCATCCTCTGAGACTGATGACAAAAATTTAGACCTCAATACATTGTCCCATAGGTACCTGAGACTCTGGAATTTTTGTTCAATCCTTTTCTCTATTTGTTTGAGAAGAAAAGAAATAGTACAATTTGTCATCCTTGATGTACCCTCTCTCCAAATTTAGGTAAAGTGCAGCCAGGGAATTTTTAGTTTCAGTCATTGTATTTTTTAGGTTTATAATTTCCATTTGGTTCCTCTTTATACCTTCTATTTCTTTGTTGAGGTTCTCTGTTCTCTCACTAATTTCAAAAGTATTTGCCTTTACTTCCTGCTACATTGTTTTAATAGCCATTTCCAGGCTTTGACAAGTCTAACATCTGTATCATCTTGGAATTGATACGTTATTGACTTTTCACTTGTGAATTGAAATGTTTTCCTGGTTCTTCATATGCTGAGTAATTTTAGAATTTATCTTGGGATTTTGAATATGTATGCCTTAGTTAAATCCCAAGAAGATGTCCATTGTTTGTATGTTTGTTTGTGTTTAGCAGATCATCGGCTAGGTCCATCCCAGACACCCCTGGCAGATCTGTTTTTGAAATATTTGTGGAGGGGCTGGGGATTTAGCTCAGCAGCACAGTGCCTGCCTGGCAAGCACAAGGTCATGAGTTCAATTCCCGGTACCAGAAAAAAACAAACAAAAACACAAATAAAATATTTGCAGTGATATTTGGATCGATGCCTTGTGTGTGCTATCAAGTGTCTAGTCTGAGAAGACTTGGATGGTAGTTTTCCCTGTGCTTAATTTTGCAAACTCTGTTGAGGGTCAGATCCATGCAAGTCAGGAGAACTCCTGGCTCAGAGATAGCCCAGGAGTTCATACACAGCTGGGATCGCTGTCTTGATGGCTGTCCTTTCTGGTTCCCTCAGTCCTTTCCGGCTTCCGGATGCCTTCCTTCCTGGTGCTCTGGGGTTTTAATTTCCATCTTCTGCCGTGAGTTTCCTGTGGCTTTGTCTCCATCTGGGATCAAGCTGCGGGATGACAGAGACAGAAAGCAATGGGCAAAAGAAAAAAAATTAAAAATGCAGCAGTTGGGATTTGCCCCGCACTCGGAGCCACAGCTCCCCGCACTCGGAGCCTTCTCCTCTGGAGAAGGGTTCCCTTTCCACGAGTTTTGCGGTTACCTCTGCCATCACCATGGTATTACCTAGAGCCTGGGAAGGAGAGAAGGAGAAAGGATCCAGGGGATTTCCTCCAGTCTTTTCAAACCCTAGAAGTTCACTTTCTTGTTCCTTCAGCTGAAAGAAGGAGCTTTTTTCCTGGCGCTTTCTTTTGTCCCCATTTGATATGTACTTCTAGGTTTCTGGTCCTTTGAGGATAGGACAGGCAGTAATGGAGACACAAATGATAATTCATGGCTGGCTTGATAGAACTTTTAATGTTGGTCCTACGCCCAGTCTTTTTTCTACCATATCCTTTCCTTTCCTGGAGCTTCTTCCATGATCACGTCTCACAGCAGTAGTTGAATGCAAAGGGAGAAACGAAAAACTTCCTCCATCTTTCCCAGAATCAGAACCTTACATATTTCAGCACTGTACATTATACCAGCATCATCTCACTTGATCTGAAAAATAGTTACCAGACTTATTTCACACATGAGGAGACTAGACTAGGTAGTTAAATGATTTTCCCAAAATGCTAGAGGCCATAAATAGTGGAGAAAAAAATATAAAATCTAAGTTACCTTCTTCCAAGCTCCACAAAGTGTTCTACTTTTGACCAATTTCACCTGTTATGCCCCCTTTACTTTCCCATAGTAAAAAGTAAGACATAAATTACAAATTGGAAGAGAACTATTCAGTTATTCTTTTTCCTGAATCAGACATATTTTAACCACATCTATTACTATTTTTTGCAGTTATTCGAATCTAATTAATTTTATCCAGCAAGTATTTACAGTGTTAGGTATACATCATGGTATGTGGGACTCAAAGTTAGTTCAAGGATATTTTCCCCTCCTTGAGACAAATGCAAATAAGTACAATACAACAATGACAAAAGATATTTTTAAAAGTAGCAGAGGGTGATAGGAATTTGAGGAAGGAAAGACTACTTCCAAGTCGGGATACAAAGGAAGAATTACAACTGGGTATGGTGGTGCATGCCTATAGTCCTAGCACTCCAGAGGCAGAGGCAGGAGGATCTCCATGAGCTCAAAGCCAGCTTGGACTACATAGTGAGTTCAAGACCAGCCTGAACTACATAGAGAGACCCTGTTTGAAAAACAAAACAAAGCCAAAAAAAAAAGGAAGAATTACGATATTTCTACTTGTAAAATGAAAAGAAACATCAGAGAAAATGTTTGTTTACATGCAGGACAACACCACAGCAGTTTTCCTGGTAGCAGTGCTTGTCCCTAAGTATTTCTTGGAATGTTACAGACAGGAGAATTTTTTTCATGTGTCTGTTTGCTTCCCTTTGATCACTAAAAACAAAATTTTTACATAAAGATAAATTTCAAACAGTCCATTTGGTCAAGATTTAAATAAGTCAACAGGTTCCCAAATGGTTTATTAGTAACCAAGGTTTAGGGAGTCAAAAGGGACTTTTCATGAATTGTATTAAACATGTAGAATTTTAAGTTAAAAATGTTTTTTCTGTCTTCAGGAAAGACACATTTGTTTGCATAGGCATTCATGAAGGTGACCCAACCTGGAGAAAGAAGTATTCACTGTGGCCCTGGGGATCTTGTGACAAATTAGTTCCTTCAGAGATTGTATTCAACCCTGAGGAGTGGGCTAAACTCACAAAAAACATCTATAACTGGACCGAAGAATACGGAAGGTAGGAACAGCAGTTGCGTTTTTGAGCATAAGATAGCAGTTTTGCTTACTTAAAAAAACACCACATTTTGAGATGCCTTTTAATGGTTTTGCATGCTTTCTCATTAATTATTAAAATTATTTGCTACCTATAAAGTATCACAGAACAAATGCAGAAAGACAACGCGTCTCTCTCGTCCTCCTGTTTACAGAATGGCAGAAGACAGAGGGGAGATGGGCAGTGTTGAGTGCATAGCACAGAAGCCACTTGCACAGCACCTGCGTCCAGCCCTTTTGAAGTTGTATCGTGTCCAGCCCCCGCAGCTTATTACCCTAAAATTATTACTGTTACCCTCAACTATTACCCTAGGACTTATTACCTGTGGTTAAGGTTTCAGAGGCACTCGATGGCTCACAACAGTATCCACGCGCATGAATTTGTTACGTGCTTTTTTCTTCAAGAATGGCGGAGATATGAACAGAGCATGTAGCTCAGTGGGAGAATACTTGCCTACTTGCCTAGCAAGCATGAGGCCCTAGGTTCAATCCCCAGCACTGCCAAAAGAAAAAAACTGCAGATCATTTTTCTGTAGGAAAGATTGAATTTGGGTACATTTTTCACAGTTGTTGGGTATCAACCTGGTTATGTTTTGGGGGACATTACTAGTCTACCTTTAAGCCTTTCTACTCTGTCCCATATGGAAAATGAGTTACCATCTAAAGAAATTGCCCATTATCTATTTGTTAAATTATGAATTACTGTATTTAAAGATTATATAACCTACTCCAGTGATGGTGAACCTTTTGGAAACTGAGTGCCCAAACTGCAGCCCAAAACCCACTTACTCATTGCAAAGTGCCAGTACTGCAATTAAACCTGAATACAGAGGTTTTAGTTCAGAAAAAGCAACTCACCCACTTGGCTTGTATGCTGACAGAAAGGGCACTGCCTGCCCGCTGTGGCACATGTGCCATAGATTCACCACCACGGACCTGTGCTTATAATTTAAGAACAAGAGGCAAGACCATGTGAACAGATGCTGTGTAGGGTTTTTCGAATCAACATGAACAGACAGACCTCTCTGTGTATAGCAGCCTGAGCCAGGTGATGAGGCTTGCATCAAAGCACGCTGTGGCCTGCAGGAGGAAGAGGTAGAAAATAGCATCCTCTTCAGTAGGCTGATGAACAGGAAACAGATAGGATCATTCACCATCTCACTTCTGTCACAACAAACACTAAGGAAAATGTTAATTAAGAAAACTCAGCAAACCATTCTTCCTGCAGCATTGTGGCTCCAGCAGCGGTGTATCAGAGCTGAGCGTCCCCTCTCCAGTGTATCCTCCGCTGCTCACTGCGTCCCAAGGCAGGCCTGCATCTCACCTCCGCGACATGTTGCCGTCTAGTGGCTCATGGGGCAGCAGCCCCCTGAGCTCCCAGCCTCTTCCGTTAGTCCCTTGTTTGCTCCGTTGAGACCCCAGAGCTCATGGTGCAGATCAGGAGCACATGCACCAGCAGCCTGAGTTCCTTACAACTGAACTGGTCTCGGCTTGGTTACTGTCAGTGGTTCTTCAAGGCCCAGCCTGCTTTAGTAGTCTTGTAAAATTTAGGAAATGAGCACCTCATGTCATAGCAATAAGTGGCTGACAGAACGATGCTTCTTTCTTGCAACTGCAGGTTTGATCCATCTTCTTGGGAGTCCGTGGCCAATGAAGAGATGTGGCAAGCAAGGTGACTGTTTTGCATTTGTGTATTTGAGCCTCTTCTAAAGGTAGCAGAGAAGTAGCCTGTGGCACTTTTCATTTTGAGAGTACTCAAAACACACTAGCAGTTATTTTCTTTGAGGCATGTGAACAGTCTCGTTTCGCCCTCGGAACCCCTGAGGTTACTGACCTCCCCGTTGTATGAAAGGGCAAACTTGAATGGAGAGGCTCGGGCCAACGCTGCTTGCTGTGAGAGCCAGCATCCGAGCTCACATCCTCTGACCTGGACCACTCTGAACTCCTGTGCTTCCTGTTTCAAGTAAACTGAAAAGCGAGTGAGACTGAGTAGAAGCCGATCATGCCAGCCCTGCCTGTTACAATGAGCCAGTGGTTGTTCAGCTGGCACCTGTTTAATACTTCCTAGAGGTCAGTCGGCGCACCGTGCAACAGAGCTGTGCGTGCTAGGAGAACATAGTTCCCACCCTGACAGAGCGCATGGTCTGCTGGTGCACGCTAGCATGAAATAGACTCACTGTTAACGCAGTAGGTGCTGGGCCTGCCTGTCAGTCAGAGAAGGCTGGCACTGTCCGGCATGGGACAGCGTAATGACACTGCTGCTTCCCTTGGAGCCCTGTTACTGTTTGTAAGTAATCACACAACTTCTACTGGCGGACCTTGGCCTGAACATGAATGTCCAAGTCCTAGGGAGATAGGCTGTGTGTTTACTCAGTTCTTCACTGTGATTGACTGCAGGAGAGCTGAGCGGAAATCACATAAAAGAAGCATGCAGGTCATTACTGGGGCAGGTATTGATTTAATTGGTGTGCTGAATGCAACTTGAATGAGTTCATGTGGTCCGAGAGCCCGGCCATCGTCGCGGGACCAGCCGCACGTGGCAGGAGCCACCGTGGCGGGCACCTCAGGGCTGCACTGCAGGACAGCGCACCCACTGCCGCCTACCCTGACCTAACAGTAACGCACATCCGGAGAGGCCAGCGCGGCACTGGGCTGTGTGTAGACTTCCTTCTGACAGTTGTGGTATAAGTAGGAATGCAGCGTCTTTGGGGAACAAAGAGTTGCTAGTGATTCAGAATAAATTTCTAAGACTATGAGAGAATGAAAAATAATACAGTAAAGGGTGACATACAAGCCATATCAGTGGAAAGCCTAGAGCAGGTAGTCCTGAATGTGAGATGGATGTACAGCGTTAACGAGAGGTCCCACTCCCTCCCCAGGATGAAAACACCGTTCTTCATCTTCAACCTGGCGGAAACCGTGAATGTGCCTTTGGATGTAAAAGCTCAGCTCTACACTCAGGCTTACAATGTACGTTCTTTTGTAAAGATATTTGGTGGGAAGTGGCGGCGGTTGTTTGGGATGCAGAGGGTGTGTAGCAGGGTTTTTCTTTGTTTCCACTTAGTCTGGACACTGTAAAGCAGTGTATAAAGCAACATATTCCGTATTCTCACAACGTCTGAGGTTCATGGCTGTGGTAGACGGAATGACGTCCTCCCGCAGGATGTCCGGGGTCCTGAACTCCAGAACCTGGAGCTGTTACCCTTACAGGGCAAAGGGGACTTTGCGGGTGGGATTCAGCAGAAGGTCTTGAGGTGGGAGACGGTCCTGGGTTGTCTAGATGAGCCTCGTGTAATCCAGGGGCCTTGGCAAGGGAGGAAGGAGGTGAGAGTGAGGAGAAGGCGTGCGGAGGCAGTGCTCACAGAGGGAGCGGTCTGAGACGTCACTCTGCGGGGCTGCAGGTGGAGGCAGGGGCTGTGAACTGAGTGCAGACGCCTCTGGAAGCTGTAAGGGAGGGGAGTAGTCTCCTTCCAGCCTCCCAGAGACACAGCTCTGTGGATTTAATTGGTGTGCTGAATACAACTTGGGTGCGCTCGTGTGGTCAGAGAGCCCAACCATGCGCTTCCCCTGCGGGAAGTGCAGGATAAGAAATGTACGTTGCTTCAGGCCACTGTGTTTGTGGTCCTCTGTTCCGGCAGCAATAGGGAACAAATATAGTGGCTACCTAAAAAAGTGAAAAGTTCTCACAAGTTGCCCTCTGTGCAGAAGCACAGACCCTGGCCGTACTTGGCATGAGAGGGCCATGGCTAGTTGAGATTTCGTGGGTGAAAAGTTTGCAGAGCGACTCTCTCCTCTACCTGTTGCCCCATGAAGCTGAACAAACCTTCCACGTGCGCAGCCACCCTGAGGCCCTTGTGCAGATCTTGCCTCTAACCGGGAATGGGCGCGCTGGAGGCTGCTGCAGTGTCACCGCCGCGTCTCTGCTTGTGTGTGATGCATACACTGGCTCTTCAGCTCCTGCACACAGTCGTGGAGTCCGCTGTGCAGGAAGCACACACCCTGGCAGGGCCCGCGGACACAGAGGCTAGGACAGTGTGTAGGGACAACAGGTACTTCTGCTGTCTCTGGACTGCTGCGAATCTGCTCCGGGTGTTCGTTTGGGGCTAAGTCAGCACAGCGTGGTGTCTAATCCGTATGACTAATTCTCCTCCTGAATCAGGCCCTTGCTTTCATTCATTTGCTCTCCATGACAGAGCACTTACTGAGTGTCCACTCAGTAGCACATAGTGTGTTGGACACAAGCGGCCTTGTTCCTGCCGTCAAGAGAGGTAGCGGGCTAGACAGGGAGACAGAGGCCAGGTCCTCCTCGGTGCAGTGCAGGCCTGAGAGCGCAGAGGGGCTGTGGGGCAGAGCGGGGTCGAGCCAGCTGGGCCGGGTGTCACTGGGCTGTCGTCTGAATGACCAGGATGAGCTTACCAGACAGATGGCGGAGCCAGGAAGCCAGAGAGGGAGGGCAGGCATCCATCCGGAGGAAGCCTCAGGCATGTACCCTGGGGGCAGCCTGGTCCTCAGCGCCTGCCCGTCCGGCCTGGCAGGTGGCAGCCCAGGTTCTCGGCCACTCCGCAGTGTGTTGTCAACTGTGAGTCATTCAACCTTCCGAGGCCTTGATTTGTTTTAAGAAAAATGGATGTTAAACTTTAAATTACTAGCTCTCACATCCGGGTCATATCACATTTCCTCTTCATCTCTAGTGCCTTGTAGTTCTATGAAAAACAAGCAGTCTTTGTCTGGGACTCACTAATATTTCACGCTCTCATCAGTGAGGCCTTCCACGCTGGTTGTTCAGCCACGCTGAAGCTCCCTGTGGCTCTGTGGTCTCTGTGGGCCGTGAGCTTTGCTCCCGTCAGTGAACTCAGGCTTTGGCGTCTCCTCACCTAAGGACGTCTCCAGATGTGTGACAGTATTTAAAGACAAGCGTGGCCAGTTACTTGGTGGGTCAACACACACCCACCCAGTGCTCGTTCTTTAAGAACATTCTCGCTAGGTGTTAAGGAAACTTGTGCTCTTGTCCCACTTGGTAGCTTATACAAGACATTAAGTTCAGGTGATACTAAGTTTGGGGGTAGTTGGGAAGCAAGTAGTAGCCAGGTCCTTGGGAGACACTAGGTCAGGTGAGGATGTCCCCAACCAGTAGAATGTAGCCCACTAAGACCAGTATCATCATAACACACACAGAGGAGGAGATGCAGCTCCACACAACGAGAAGTGGCCGCTTCTCAAGGTGCAGCACAGGTGGCTTACCAGGTCCCCAGAAGTAGAATTAGCTAATGCTGCCTAAGCCACAGAATGTTCCAGAAGGGGGCAGAGTGGTTGCTGATGCCCGAAGACTCTAGTGGGTCACAGTGAGCCTCTGCTTCTCTTGAGCACTTGGGGAAACAAACACTCCAGGAAGCACTGCCTTGGCTAGGATTTTGAAAATCTAACAGTTCCTGCGTGCTGGCCTCATGTGGGAACCCGCCACGCACCTCCTCCTCAGAGCTAAGCTGAGGACGTGGAGAGAAGACAGCTTAGCAGGGCTGGGGAGAGAAGCTTCACCAGGAGGTAAGAGGGCAAGAGGCTAACCTGACAGAGGACATGGCGATTTTTTCATATTTTATAAAACTTAGATAACTACAGAAGTTGCTTTAAAAGTCAACTTGAAAGCAAAGGTGTATTAAATATGAAAATGATGTCTCGACATGGATTGTAGAGTTTTGGACAGAGACACTTGAAATCTGTGTGCATTTGTCTGCTCTGGAGTAGGAGGAGCTGGGGGAGGAGACAAGGTAGTTGGCCCTTTCAACTTGTTGATGTCGGGAATACAGTTGTAACTCAAAGCGTTGCGTCCCATAGATGGTATCACTACCATGCTGTGTTCAGAAGCTGCTAGAATATCCCTGGGAATCCAGCTCTGGCTTGACAGTCTCCAGGAAGGCTGTGACGCTCCCAAAGAAGCAAGCATAATGCTTCATTTTGTGATCTTCCTGTGCTTTTTGTTTATGTGTTAAATTTTTATGCGTTTCCTTTCCTCAATATTGAAAATTCTACCTGTATCCAATGAATGCTTTCTGATGTGAGGAAATCAAAATTCTGAATTTGTGTGACAAAGTTTAACTCTCAAAATCGTAACTTATGGGCTTTGGTGCAAATGGAGAGTATCTCATGCTAGGGTCACTTACATTGTTTTTTCCAGCCTCCTTCAGGATGGGGTAGTTGGGATTGTCCTGCTGTTGTCATTACTGTTGTCTTTAATGGTGAGAGAAACTCATGTAAATAACATAGGACAGAATTTAAATTCTTCCCAGTTCTTTTGCCACACAGTCTTCTAAAGGAAGCTATTTTTTTTTTCCTCCAGCAGCTAAATTTAGAGTTTCAGCCTCTCTGCCTGTTGAGTAAATAGCTTTCCACCAGTTAGAACTAAATCCCTTTCCCAGAACATCTTTCTGGAGGAAGAGCATTTTGTCCTGACACAGTGTGTTGTCAGGTTCCTCCTGCAGCCCCCAAAACTCCCAGAAGCAGTTTTAGATGAAGCATATTTGCCTCCTGCTACTGTAATAATTACAGTAACATCCTGCATTTTCTGCATGGCCTGGCAATGATTAGATTTTTCCTGTAGGCTGCTTGGATTTTTTTCTTATGCTATCAATTCCTCTGTGTTTTCTGGGTTTTTTTGCGGGGGAGGGTTAAGTCAAGGGATAACGGTGGAATACCAACATTTTTGCTGTTTTCCAGCTCTATAAGGAGATTGTCTATTTACGGAAGGAACACCCAGTGAATTGGCACAAAAACTACGCCATCGCCTGTGAGCGGATGCTGCGCTTTCAGGAGAGAGATGCAGATGCTGAAGTCCTGTTGTCTGAAACCATCACACATTTTCGTCTCTATGCTCAAAAAGCACAGAATGATCCGCAGCTCGCTGATATTTTAGCTGCTCTCAAGGACCTAAGAAAAAAACTGCAAAGTCTGAGAAATATGAAAAATGTCAGAGACAGCAAAATGTGAAAAACCTGCTCATCTTTCAGCTTCCAAAATTCTGAAGTCCAAAAGTTTTTCCTTTAAGAAAAGAAACTGCAAACTAAGTTATTGCCCAGATATAAGTAACCTGGGACAGCAGTACTGCCTGATCAGGGTTGAGTGACCAAGATGTAGTATTCTGTTTAGCCTTTGTTACCGAATTAGCATTTCCATGAGAAGCTTTAGAAAAGACCTCTTCCTACCTAGCACCACAGTCTTTCACCAAATGAGGGTGCTTGATTACACTGCAGAAGAGAATGAGCTATTTTCATTTATTTAAACTATTGACCATGATTCTTTAAAGGACCGTGCTTTTGGGATCCGCTTTATAGGTTAAATACTTAAAGTTTTCATGCCAAAAAGAGTTTGTTTCCTGAAAGGGAAATAGTTTCTTTTTTTTTTAAAGAATGAATCATGTTTTGCTTCAAGTTTAGAATTCTTTTTTGAAAAAAGAAACTGTCATCGTTACATGCATCACACTGCAAGGTACACAGCAAGCAGGTAATACCGTGAAAAGGTTTCAGCTGCGTTGTCTTAGATAGTTCTCCACATTCACTAAAAAGAAAAGCTAATTTGATGCACAGACTGGCAAGGAAAAAGCATTTCATGGTTACTTAATTAATTTTACCTTTATATTTTACTTCTATTTGGACTCTCAAATCTAGACCCAATGATTAGTAGGGTCCTGCTGCCCACATGCAAAAACAGTGTGTGTGTAGGGGGTGGGGGATGGGTTGTTCAATGAATTAATTTCTGTTACAAGCATCTTTTATACCTGTTACTAAAGAGAACATAGTAAGAAATGCAAATAATAGTTCTTTATTTATTATGACAGTTAATTAATAGCAACCTGTTTTAATGAATAAAGTCACTCAGAGTCCTTCAGTACTTCCTAAGTAGAGGCCCGAATCTGTAGGGATTCTTTCCCCCCAATTGTGTGGCTCCTAGACTCCAGGCACTATATAGGCCCCTGTATAGAAATGCTCACTAATGAAGAGGGAGGGCTAGAAGCTTGTCTGCATTCAAAGATCACTGGTGAGTCATTCAGCAAGAAAAGGCCCCTTACCAGGAATACTCACAGTTCCGTGGCATTGTACTAGCAAAAGGGTCTGATCAAAGGTCTCCTGCGGAGCTTGCATGGTTCCCTTTCATACTACGACCATAATTAAAACCACTAATTCTCTTTTAAAATGCTGCAGGATGCCATGTAGGCATCTGTCTGGAGTGTCCTTTGTGATGTCATAAGCTGTTAAGGACCAGTGCCGAGGGCTTTTGAGCGAAATGCCAGTCATGAAGGTGCTTCAAGACAAGGGTGCCTCTAAAAGCTTGACAGGCCTTGACTGCACAATTCGAGCTGAATTTGCCCCTTGTCAGCTGCCAGTAAATAAATCTCAAAGGGGGAAAAGCTGAAGTTTCATTACCTGATCCATGGGGCTTTGTTGGTTTTGGCATCACACGGGGGAAGCTCTTGCCCCTCCATTCTCTGCATTTGAAGATGTCCATTGGAGCCTGCAGTGCCTGGACAGGGTTCAGAGCGGAACCTTTTGAAGAGTGTCAATAGTTGTAACAGTTCAGCTGTTAGGAAGACAAATAAATGGAGGAGCTCATTAATCCGCTTTTGGCTCTCGGTGCCTTTTGCCCTTTTATCACAGCCTTATTAGGCTCCTACTCATCTTGAACCAGAAAAAAATGAATTGAAGTTGTTGAGTACTAATTGGCAAAGACTTTTAATCATGGGCCAAGAACTTTCACTGACTTGAAAGTAACTTCTCCACAGGGAAGAACCCCAAACCTGGGTTACCTTAAAACAAAAACCTGTTGGAGTTCAGTGTGGTGTAAAAATTTAAGGAAGCGTTGATAAATTGTCTAAGTTTATCCATTTGAAAGAAATTATGGCAGAGTATGATTTCCACTTTTCTGGGGGGAAAAGGGTAATAAAATGCAAATGGTCCTTGGTTGTATGTTTTCTCTGTTGGCTCAGAAAAGAGACCGTATGTGTGTGCGAGTTGACCTTGCTTGTTCTGAACATCTACACGTGTGTGAATATTCATCTGAGTACACGTATGTGGTGTCTGAGGCACCTTATTAAAAGTAGTATTTCCTAGTCATAGCCTCAAAAATGGCAGTGAAGGCGTCTATTTGAGATATCTTCTTTTTCAGTGTGTCTGCTATGGAGCCCCACGTCTGAGTAGGCTTTGTGTATTGACGATTATCAAATGGTACATGGATTATTATGGATTTGTAAGGCAATCACTTTGGGCCACTCTCCTTGAGAAGGCAATGATAAAGTCCAAAGTAGGTAGGATCGTAATTATATTTAAATTTCTAAAAAACCATAGGCAAATGAAAAATAGTAAGCTGCACTGAGAGGTAGGGATGTTGGGTTTTATCTCTGTATTAACCACTTTGAAGAATCCTTTCCTTTGTATGATACTAAGTTGCTTTTTCCCGCTTTCGCTTGGCTGGTGCACGACACCATAAAATAGAAGGGGGTTCTTTCGTTTCACCTCCCCACGTTGAAGAGGATGTGAAGATGACTTCTCATGCGGGATTTGGCCAGCATCCCCCGAGCAGTGTCCCAGGAGGGCTGTGGGTTGGCAGGATGACAGGAACCCCACAAAGCCAACTTCTGCCTGGACTTTGGCCTGGGGAGCCAGTGGGAGCCAGCAGAACGGTCTGCCTTCCCACATGCCGCAGCGCCCTGCTGCCCTGGCACGGGTCTGCCGAGACCGAGGGCAAGGGGAGGGCCCTGGCCTCAGCCCCGCCCAGCGAGCCCGGCTGTTTGCATCCCCCCTGCCCATGTGCATCGTTCTTGGTGTCGCCTGTTCTTTTTTCTTTGTTTTCTTAAAAGGACCCATTTCATGCAGCAAAGTGGAAAGGAATCAATTACCAATGTACTATTTTGAAAACCTTACAATAAAAACCATGAAATGTTATTTCTGCCCACATACTTAGTGTTTTCTAAGGATGGAAGCGTGATATTTAACTTTTATGATATTTGACTAAAGCCCATTTTGAGTTTTAAGGTTACTGTTATGTTACTTTGCAGATAACTTGACATGATCAGGCTGGGATATGAAAGGTAGATTTTTAAACTGATATTTAAGAAGTTAAATAGTTTGAGTCCTTGATCATACTTGTTATCAATATCCTTCAAAGTTGAAATGTGAATGCGTTTGATAGTCAGGAAAAGTTTTAACTCCAAAAGTGGAAAAAATTAACCCTGTTCTACCAAATTCGTTTGTTCGGTTTACTTTTGGTATATTTTATAAATGCACCAATGCAGGGTATTGACTAAAAGTTCTGCTCTTCTAACTGGCTCCAAGTCCAGTGGCTTAGTAAAGAAAATTATTCCAGTCCAGGAAGAGATTCGCACTACTTTGTTTATCCTCAGATTTTGTTGTGGACGCAAAACCATTGCAAAACTCATACTGACAAACCAGTGCTGTTTGCAGGGCACTAGGAATACCCAAAGGCCAGGGTCCTAGCACCACAGCCAGGCAGACGCGGAGCTGCAGTCCACGCGATCAGCTCAGTGAAGACGTCGTGTGGGCACCCTCAGAAAGTCTGCTTGACTGGGATCCACGTGAGTGATGTTTTAAGCAGCTCCCAGAATAGTGTGGTGTGCTTACCTGAATATAGAAAAATAGCTAACAGGAGCAAATCCTGAAAAGGGTCCCCTCCACTCAGAAAAAAAGAAATCCAATAGCTCTTCACTGGTGTAACGTGTGGTGGGAGCTGCATACTGGCAAGACTGGGTCCCACCCTGTGGAAGGAGGGGCAGGTGGAGGTTCCGACCCTGGAAAAGTGAACCCAGGTGTCACTGGCTCCTCTGTGAAGTTCTCTCTTTTCTGTGGATCTAAGGTGTTATGGGTGAGGGTGAGTTTTCAGGGACACAAACATTGCGGTAGTTTTTAAATGTTGAGTTGGTAAGGTTGAGACAGTTGCAAGGTAAAGGTCAAGAACACAAAGGCAAACAACAGCAACGCTCCTCTCCAGTGACTCAAACTCACAGAGCAGCCGACAGCTCAAGTCTAGGGGCTGGGGATTTAGCTCAGCGGCACAGCGCCTGCCCGGCAAGCGCAAGGTCGTGAGTTTGATCCCTGGTACTGGGAAAAAAAAAAAAAAAAAAAAAAGTCTTGCTGGGCCTTGTTGCCATTAGGTGAGGCCAGTGTTGAAGTGTAGAATCTGTTGCAAATTCAGTGTAGGCAGGATAAGGGGAGGAGAGGTACAGCAGATGGGTATGGAATATTGTCTTTGCATCAGTAAATTTGTTATAAGTTACCTGCCATATACTAGTGGAGATTATGAATTACGTACTCTTTGGGAAGAAAAAGACCACAATCCTCTTCTATTTAGAAGTGTTATCTGAGAGGAGTTATTTTGTAAGGTAACCTTTAAAAAGGGATATTTGAGATTTCTTTCAGCTGAATGAAACATTCCCTTTGATGTTTGAACCACTGGAAATACCCTTAATTTGGTTTGGTTTCAAACCAAAAGGGCAGCACTGCTGGGGAACTCAGACCCGGTTGCTCATCCTGAGGAGAAACACCTGGCACTGGAAGTGCAGTAACCATGGCGGACGAGATTCCCCGTGAGGCCCTTGGGCACCAAGACAGACACCCAAAGGTGGCAGCAGTGGACACAGGGAGGCCGGAGGACAGGGTAGAAAACCCCTCGACTGGAGTGTCCTTTCAGTGTCTTCCCTCACAATGGGTGTTGAAAGCAGAAGGAAAATCATGAGATAATTGTTGTATTAATAGAAGTGGTTTTAAACATTAATGTAAAAGAAATCAGGTATTCTTTTAAATTATTCTAGGAAAAGCTACAGAAAAAGTTGTTTGAAAGAAGAAATGTTCTACTAATTAAAAAACTGAGCTTTCGTTGATGAGTTAAAAGTCAATGAAACAGTAAAAGGAAGTTTCAATAAAAGTTTGCACACAGAAGAATGAAAAACCAAAGTTCAATTACACAGAGCTTAAAACAGGTAAGCTCGCAGAGGGAGAAGACTCAGGTGGCCGTTCTGATTAGTCTATCGTAATTTTCACCAAGGGAACAGCACACCGGTCCCCTGCGTGCTGGTAATTCCACCGCACTTCCATTCAGTGACCGAGCTGCTAACCCTAACCTCGCGCCGGCCCGCGCTCATGTGGAGGCTGGTTCTTAACAGGCAGGGCTGTGCACCCAGAGTGACTGAGGTCACTTTAAATCAGATCCACGTTAGAGGTCACTTTAAGACCAGTTGCTCTTAATGACAAAGGATAAAAAATACAATGCATCTGAGGTGCTATTTCATGAAACGTGTACACACGTGTATATTTATAACATCTTTGCTACTGCGTATGTGTGCTAATGTATAAATAATACATATAAGCCTACAATTGTATTGCTAAGTCACAATATAAAATGAATTTATTATGGATCATATTAAAAAAATAAATTTGGAAGTCACTGGCTTAGAAAAACCTAATACAACAGAGTTTATAAGGGATCATCCAGTATTAACTATCACAATTAGTGCAGTTTAATACATGAAGAAACCCAGTGCTATACTAAGTAACTGGAATAATGTCACACACCCAGGCAGCGGCAGAACCAGAACAGGAGCTTCTGGCTCAGACTGGTACACGCTGTGCTCTTCGCAGTTAAACGCAACCAGCTGGATCCACCTCCACTCCATGGCACGGTGATGTCTTCAAACGATGCGGCCATGTTTAAATTATGATCAACTTTTCTAGAGGCAAATGGTGTGTGAAATCAGAACCTATGTCACAGGAGATTGTTTAAAAGCCCTATGCAAGCTCGCTCTTACCCTCCTCCAGCCCTTCAGAATGTAATTTTCCCCCTTCCCTTTTAGAAAGGACCAAATGATATCCCTAACTTTTGACTGAGAATTTCCCCACCCATTCTGGACTTCGAAATATACACCCAAATTAAAGAGTTCTAGCGTGGTAAGAAAAAAGTCACTTTGAAATCCAGGAATTTATTAGCATAAATTACATTCCAGCTGAATCAGCTGCTGGCAGCTCCATTTCAAAAGTGTTTCTCTAGTTTATCTGTTTCTCTCCCTCTGAGCCAAGGCCCAGACACCGTCAGGAGAAGACCACGTCCCGCTCTGCAGGACATCCCTGGGTTTGGAATTAGGCTTTGCCTTCCAGGAACCAACCCGTCCGAGGTGGTCCTCATGACTGCTGTCCTTTCAGCCCCTTGATGGTCTGATTTCCTAATTAGGAGCAATTCTGGGTATAGGTAGAATGATTCTTTCCACATTTGCCTCCTGAGTCCTAGGTATAAAATGGTAATAATAATCACAATTATTATATCAACTAATGAGTGACATCTGTCACCCATTGATTGTTTCAGTGATTTAAAATCACCTGCATTTCTTTCACTGTCTCTCAGAACTGGAAGTAATTTGGCCTTTCTTTGAGAAGCAAGTAAATTTGGTGTCTCGCTGAGTCCCAGAGCCCTCTGGACGGAACCTCACAATCAGGGCTTACACATGTCAAGCATTTGGTAAAGATATAAAGACGGCCTGCTCCCCAGGCCGTCTAGTAGGCCAGCACTTCTCTCACTCCCTTGTGAACAAATGAATTCTGTGCTTGGCTCCAAGAGCCCAATCCTGTTGAATACTGTGAACTAATTTGTACCATGTAACGGTGTGAGTCTGTACAAAAATCACGCAAAACTAGAGTTTGTTTCAAGACATTCTGAAATCCAGGAACCATGGTGTTCTCATGTAACACATGGGATCTACTGGAGATTTTGTTAAATATTCTGTTTTTTATTATAGTGCACTGGATTGAACACACCTCTGCTAGCACTTTCCTGTCATCCAGTGAAGCCCTGGTTGCCCACGGCCTCCCTGTCCGAAAGTGCGGCCAGTAGGAGCTTAGTCCTTATTGCCCTGCACGCAGTCCCAGGATGCAGGCTGTTCCGAAAGCACAGGCCTTCTCACCACTGCAGCAGGGGCACCGGGAGTGCGGCCGTGAGAGCGGGCTTGGGATAACCTCCTTGTGGAGGGAGGCGCCTGGCTGCCCAGGAGCTAAAGGCTCCGTGTCACTGTTCCCAGGGATGTGTCCATAAAGGTGTTCCTCCTCCCTTGCGCGCCTCTGTAAAATAAATCTTCAAAGCCTCCTACTACTTTGCTTATCTCTTACATGTTTAAAAATGTCCTCAGTACACATCTGGAAATTTTAAATGATTCCATTTAATTTACAGTAATTATAATGTGTTCAATTAGATGAATAACCGGAGAGAATAACCAGAGAAGCCCCGAGCAGATGGAAAAATGGATCAGCCTCACCAGTAAGGGAGTGGTCCCTCATTCCGCCCGGGTGCGCGCGGTGCGTCCGTGCACACGCAAGTCGCGCCCCGGGCGGACGGTCCCGGGCGAGCTGCGTCCTGCTGGAGAAGGCGTGGACCCGCTGCTCCGCTTCGTCGTCCCAAGCCGACCTGGGGCCCGGCTCAGCCTTCGCCTGTGGGCGGAGGCGCTCTGCGCCCTCCGGGGATCCCCAGACGGCAGCGCCTCCCGGGCTTGGCGGGGCCTTGCGGGGCGCCTGGCTCTGGGGTTCCGGGTGGAGACGCCGGCCGCCGGGCGGCCTCGTAAAGGAGCGCCCCGTGGGTTCCCTAATCTTCTCGTCATGTAGCCAGCACTGTTGGACAGGCCCGGGCCGGGTGTTGGGGGAAGCCAGGCAGAGAAGGCCGCGTCCCCCGCGACGTTTCCTCCCGGGGAGGGAGAGGCCGGAATGCGAGGCCGAGGGCGCCCAGGCGGCGTTGTTAGACGGCGCGGCCCCAGATGCTCACGCCGCGCGGCCCGCCCAGCAGGCCGCGTCTCGGCCTTGGTTACCTGGGCCCTGCTCGGTCCACACAGGCCTGCCCTGGACACAGACGCCCTGGCCCCGCACGGTCGCATCGGGCGTCCGTCCCCACACCA